GCACATTTACGGGAGCGTAAGGCCCGACAGGCCGTCGCACGGCCAGGGGGGCGCCCATCGGCCCCCCCCTGCGTTCAACAAGCCGACGAGTCTTTACGATCCGTCTTACGCGATCTGGAACTACGATCGGCCGAATGATCTCGGCCACGATCGACCTACGTACACCACTCGTCCTCCGTACACCACTCGTCCTCCGTATCACGCGGTCCAGGTGGACTATCTCCAGGACGAGTACGACGGTGCCTATCCGCCCGCCGCTTCCGGCGTACACGTGCCGGCAATCGAGGACTCGTCCAACGCCGCCGTGGACTACTCTAGATATCGTGGTAATCGCACGAGAATGCACACGCAGACTGTTGCACCGATATGTGTCGAGCACGATGTGTGTCGAGATTTTTATGAAATCGATTAATCGGCGAGTTCGGATTCCGATGTTATGTAGGCTTGCAGAACTTTTGCCATGCGTTAACATGGAAATCTGAACTCATCGAAGTTACAATTAAAATAGTTTTAATGCCTAATATCGAGCTTATGCATTTTTTCTTATGCTCGTTGCGCTTCGATCGTTGCAGCGGACTGAAATTTTCAAAGTCTACTTGATTATTGGCTCGGATACGCTCGATGTCGACTAAACTATAATCGATCGACAAAGCACTAGATTAGAAAACAGATGTTATTATACGATCTAATAGATAACTATTGGATACGATAAAAAAAAAATAGTAGGACCTTAAAGCGTGCAGAGATCACGGATATACAGAATTATAGCTTCAACGAAAATCATTACGAAATACACGAGACGAACTGTGACGAGTTTTATAAAACAGATGATTCATAAATATATATAGATATTTACTATTAAATATATTTAAATATAAATTGAAATAAATTATCGATCTATAATGATCCCAATAATCGAAAAGTTTCATGATCGAGACAATATCCAAACAAGCACGCAATCCTTTGCACGGAAACTGCACGAGAATGAGTACTTCCGCCGTCACATCGCACATTCTACCGCACAAAGCTGCCGGAAAACGATCAGAAAATTGGATTTGTGAAGAAAAAATGAGAGAACGCTGGAAAAGGTGAAACTTGACTGTACAGAAGACAAAAAACGAAAGACAGAAAAAGTGAGAAACGTGAAAGACAATACTGAATAGAAGACTGCACAACGGAACACGGAAGAAATAAATAATCGCATTCTTAATAATTCTCTGGTTTTCTTAAATATTAAATTGTAAAATAGAAATATGAGATATGATAAGAATAATTGAAATATAAAAGTTGATTGGAATTTTAATATTTTTGAGAAAAATATAAAACCTTTAAACATATATGTGTGTGTCTATCATTTGTATTTATATATGCAATTGTATTCACATATTTATATTTATAAAGATTCTATTCGTGACTGATTACTGCAAGATTTTCTTGCAATAGTCTTGATTAATATATATCGCGGTAATAAATTTACAATATATTCTCTGAAATTGCGTGAACTTTCTACGCTTATATTAACTCGCTATACTTATTTTCTGCTTTCTGTCTCTCGCCAAGGCGCAAGCAACACTCCACAAAGAAAGTTTAACTGCACACAATATAATTGTAGAAAGTATCAGTTAAAAAATTTTCAGCATAAACTTATCCTCTCTACATCTCGTATTTTCATTTTCTTCTTTACGACGCGAATCGCACAAGCAGCAACTCTTCAATCTTTCGTCTCATCCAACGAAACGTCACCTCGCGTCACATAATGTCACTATCACAAATTATCAGGCACTTACTCTCTTACATTTATTTTCGATCGTTAATAACGTCGTCTCGTTTCAGGCTGCGGCGAGCTCTACACTAGGAGCAACAGGATTGTCGGTGGCCACTCGTCCAGTTTCGGCAGCCATCCGTGGCAGGTGAGGTCCTTCTCGTGCAGTTTCCTCCTCCTTGTCGCTGCTCGGCCACCATAAATATCTCTCGCACGGCTCTCGCCGAGCGACACACTCTTCCTTTCCTCTGCATTATTCATCGAAAACGAGCCATCAATTTGCGCGTCTAAGCGAGAAGGAAAGAGAGAGAGAGAGAGAGGACAAGAGAAAAATAATCTATTAAATCTTCTCCAAAGGCCCGCGAGCCATGACACGGCCTCGAATGCATATTTCATGTAATGTACTATTAAATGAATCTCTCTCGACATTCGCTCTGTTGCAGGCTGCTATTATCAAATCGGGGTTTCTCAACAAGAAGCTATCTTGTGGCGGCGCCTTGCTGAACAACCGATGGGTTGTCACCGCGGCGCACTGTGTTGCGACGTTAGTATCGTGACATACTGTCGTAAGTGGTATGATAGATATATTGATCGATGCATATTTTATATTCCAGGACACCCAATAACAATTTGAAAGTTCGACTTGGAGAGTGGGACGTTCGAGATGCATCAGAGCGACTGCTCCATGAGGAATACAACATCGAGAGGAAAGAGGTTTCGCCTTTAAAAATATTACGTACCTTTAAATCGAGATCTTTAAAGCCTTATTAATCTAAGAATATATTTACAAAAGCTCAGCACGTACAATGCATGCAAAAAACATAATTATAAAAAAAAAAATTCGAAATATTTTCTTTAATACAAAATCTTAAAAGATTGATTATTTGATAACAATCATGCTAAAAGTCGTAATAATAACAGGTACATCCACAATATTCTCCTACCGACTTTCGGAACGACGTGGCTTTGGTTAAGCTGTCTCGGACGGTAGCTTTCAAGCAGCACATTGTCCCGGTTTGCCTGCCGGCGAGGAATTTGAAGCTCTCCGGCAGAACCGCAACCGTCGCTGGTTGGGGACGAACCAGGCATGGTCAAACTTCGGCACCATCCGTTCTTCAAGAAGTCGAGGTCGAAGTGAGTATACTCTCGGCCGACGTATTTGCCTTTGATGATAAAACGCTTTCTCGAAAGCGAATTATACGCGGTATAAGTACACAATAATATTATTTTCTACGCGTAACGCATTCTTCTATATCTCTTTACTTTTTTAATTTTAAATGATGTTTTCACATTAATATATTCATAAGAGAGAGAGACTGATATAATAATATTATATATATTTAATATTATTATATAATATTAAATGGCTATATGTGTCTGACAAGAGTTTTGTTTGTTGTAAAAAAATTATAAAGAGATACACACATATTTATATACATGATATTATTTAATTTAAGCGGTAGATAATTTTTATTATTATGATACATTATTGTCATATATTTTTTTCAGGTAATACCGAACGAGAGGTGTCAGAGGTGGTTCAGAGCAGCTGGAAGAAGAGAAACCATTCACGATGTATTCCTGTGTGCAGGATATAAAGAAGGTGGACGAGACTCTTGTCAGGTAATAAGATAAAATATACAGAATGATCGAAAAAAATATTTGATTAATATTTTCTTTTTAAATATTTTAATCTTTTAAATATAAACATATGCTTGTGTGTGTATGTGGAATTATATAAAATTATGTGTATAAATTAATTTGTAATAGGGTGATTCGGGTGGACCGCTCACGATGTCGGTAGAAGGCAGACACGTTTTAATCGGTTTGGTTTCCTGGGGCATCGGCTGTGGTCGCGAACACTTGCCCGGCGTATATACCAATATCCAGAAATTCGTACCTTGGATCGATAAAGTTATGAGCTAAGCGGAGAAGAGATATTTCAGTTCCTTCGAAGGTTGTGGGTTGCTTCGCCCAAAAAAAAGGAAGAAGAAGAGGAACATGCGAGAACGACGCGCACAGTTACCAAAGTCTTGATTCATTGTTTAAGAACTTTTGCGATCGTACTCGATTATTCTTGAATGACAGGCACTCTCTCGAAAGTGCTAAATAATAATGATGTTTGTTATGGCGTTGTATAAAGTATATTCAAAGCTGATAATGAAAAGTGACAAAAATTACAATCGATGTATCCCAACGATCATTTTGCTATGCCAGGAAAAAGTTGTTGAGATGTTGATTAGTGGCAATGAATGGGATATTTGATAGGAAGAACATTTAAGCTGCTTGTAAGCTTCGTTGTTATTATTCATATCGCAAATAATTTATTATCATACATATTAAAACTGAAAGATATGATTTATTTTTGAATTTAGTTCTGTTATTTAAATATTTGAAATGAATATTAATTCAATATAACAAATTATTAAATTAAAATGTTTTTACGATAATTACTTATATTACATAGAAATTCGTAATAATTCGAGAAATATTGCATATTTTAAAAGTATTTAGAAAAAGTATTTACTTTAATGACACGCGTGATGTAATATAAGTGAGAATTTATTAAATTTATCTTGAGATTCTATCTGTGCATAAAAATTTATATTTTGCCAAACTTTTACATGAAATATATATACTTGAAAAAAAAAACAAGGAGTTATGTCAAAAATTTCGATAACAGTAAATTTATCTAATTTTATATTGATTTCTCAATGATAATATAGATAAACAAGCTTTGCTTTGATATGATAAATATAACTTTTATTTGTGCTAGCATAGCCCACGCATGCAATTTATTCATGAGATTTTTCGATATTCTATTTTTATTTAAATATTTTTATAAAATGCAACTCCTCGCTTTCATGATAGATATAACAGAAATTTCTTTAACTTCACATGATTATAGATATGTACTTCTTTACTTCCATGTTTGCCTCCTGTTATCGACCATCTGTAAGAATGGACACCACCTATCCATTTACCCATAAATGTCCTACGTAGGATAACTGAAAACCTTCAGAATTCACCTTTGATAATTATAACAAAAAATATTTCTTGACAATTCTATGATATTATTGATATTAATATTCAATTAATTTAAATTTTAAACTTGATTATGAATTAATCTAGCCTTAGTAACAATTATTGTTACTATCATCATATAAAGTATGTTTCTTAAAAAACGGAGGAAAATATTCTTTCTAATTTTGACTGTACTTTAGAAAAATTTTAATAAAACATCTACCAATATTAAAGAAAATAATTAAAAAATAAAAAGTCAAGAAGAGAGAAAAAGTTGGTATCTTCATGAAGATTAATTGATGGGAGATAAAAAAGAAGGAATATTTTTACCCTTCCACTTTAGGATCCAGGATATGTAGATCCACTCCTGTCCTCGGCAGAAGCGGAAAGAGAACGGGATTGGTCACAGAAAATGCGCGAGAAGTGCACTTACCACGATGCAGGAGGGAGAAAGCGAGAGCAATGGTGGAGGGTAAGTTGCTAATTAGAGCCAGATTAAACGCTTGTCTGGGGAGCCATTTTCCTTGCCGTTCCTCGCCGTGGCCGAAGGAGGATGAGCGGCGAAGCGGGACGTGGAACGGAGAACGGGGTGAGGAAAAATGGGGAGGGTTTGCGGGGGTAGCTGAGGCTGCGAGAAACGGGGAAGGGGATGCGGCGACGGAAGGGACGACGAAACGCCGACGCCGGCGGGAGAGGCGGGCTTAATGAAAAGTGTTTGCCCCGTAAAAGTTAAGATTAATTGGCGCTCGGGGGGTGGTTACCGCGATAATCAGCCCGGGCCAGTGGTTTTCAAACCCTCCCTGGTCGCCCTCCCGATTGCATTCTCCTTCGGGCTGCAATCGGGTACGTAAGCGAAGTTCTTCTCGAAAGGGTTCATGTATTTTGTGTCGTATAACAACTATATTTGTACTTATTATTACCTGGTATCTCTTAAAGAGAATGAAAATAAATCTTTTCATTGTATTCAAATGCAATGTCGAGAGATTAATTTTAAAAGGACCTAATTAGTGAACGGAATTGTGATGTTGACCAAATGTGAATTTTTTTTCTTTTATCATAAAACTCATTTTAATCAATTTGTGATTAGTATTATAATGATAGAAATTTAAAAAAAAAAAATACGGTTTTTCAATAATTGTAATCCTATTTTTTCCAATTTATGATCATTAGTGTTGAAATATTCGAGTCAAGTATATAATCGATCTTACTCTTAACTTGGATGAATCTAAGCTTAAAATTATCCAAGCTTCTTTAAAATATGACATCTTTTTTTAAATTTTTGTCATACTAGAAAATTTTATTATTTTAATTATACACATATATACAATCTTTTTTCTGCCTATATTATATATATTTATATAATTATGTCATGATGTCAGTACTATAAAGATGATTGATGAAAAGCCGCAAGAAATACTATTATAAGAGATTCTAAAAGCTTTCCTTTTAGAATCTTCTACAATTTTATCAAAAGTCTATCAAAAGTGATTTATGAAGCGGCAGTCAATTATCGGCGATAATCACACGGCGCATAATTAGAGAAATTGAATTACGCGTTTTTCCGAGCAGCGCTTTCGTTTACGGTTGAGCACAGCTGGAATGGGAGGTTAATTTGGCGACACCTAGTTTCATTAACAACGCCATTAAAAGTAATGGCCGGTGAGGGGGCGAAGTCGGTCGCGAGGCCTCCTAGGGGGCTGGGAGATTCTAATTACGGAATAGGACTTCCCCGGTGGAGTACGTAAGGTGGGGTTGGGGAAGGCAGAAGAGATCGAACGCCGAATACGGAGAGGGTGGACTATCGAGTCGAAAGACGCCATGATATTCGTTAAACGGCATAATTGCACCCTCCGGAGCAGAGTCGCGTAATTGTGCCGAGCCCGACGACATCGTGAAAAACTTATCGTTTCTCCGAACTGATTATTGAAATCGCGCGATTAATTTCCGCATTTGAAATGATAGCTAGAAAAATGGAACGGTCGGAGATATCTCGTATGAAATCTTTATTACGTAAGTTTCAATATGTATAAAAATATACGAGAAAGATTATTACAAGTATGTTACGCGACATATATGTATGATAATAATATAAATGATGTAATGAGACAATACGTCGGGTAAGAAAGAGAACGATAAAGTAATTTCTATAATTAATGATTTTTATTAATTACTAAATAATACTGAACAAATTATGTCTCCGTACGTGATCTTTTTAATATCCAAGTTGATAAAGTGATAATAGAATGAGATGAGATAATTGCGTACATAACTTTATTGGAAAACTTATAAATCGATTATATGATCTTATTTGCTATTATCGCTTCTTAATCTAAAGTGGAGAGATGTATTTGATGACGATGATGACTTATTTATCGTAGTAATAAAATAGATATTTCATAAACCTATTTATATCAATAAAATCGTTATTTACGATCCATCTGACATTTACAATGATTCATACGTATCTTTACGTTATCAGATATATTAGAGACACTCATAATATCTTATTACTTAATCGTATTAAAAAGAAATGAAAAGGAATGTATAAATATTTTATGTAATTTATTTATATATATATTGTATATAAAATTTCATATATAATTTTTTTTTTTAATGCAATGGCAACACACTTTCTTTGCGAGATTATCATATATATGTTCATCGATAACAGATGTTAATTATTATATCGGATTGTTGAACAACGTCAAATTGAAGTTTGATAAGGATTCAAAGTAACTTTAAATTTTCTAGAAAATGTATAACAATTATTTTTTTGAGATATATAATCGCAGCCAAACTGTGTGCACTGTGTGTGTAAAAGTTTATATATTAATTAATTTTTCATAATTTTTTTTACAATTTTTGCATTTTTGCAAAGATTTGATAAACAGAATCAACAACTATTATAAAATAGAAGACAAAATCAAGTTAATATCTTATACGATATATTCTATATTAAATAATTTTTTCATATTATTTTTGCTTTTATATTACAGCTAATAAAGATCATATATTATACGAGCAATAAATAATCGGGGAAGTCCAGAATATATAGCGTCTTTGCTGGAGAACTGCGAGTCTTTTATCTTGCCGATCTCACATTGTTTGCTTAACATTACATAAAAAAAGTATGAGGTGTCCTAAGTGATGTCACTTTTGTGACATGTAAGCGAGGAAAGAATTGAAATTAGCTTGATAAATGAATATTTGACAAGGCGCAATTAATGATATTTACATATAGACGATTCGCGATAAGCGAATACGCGACATCAATTAGGACTTATCAGCAGCCAACGATTACTAATCGAAACAACAATCTTATCGTACGGATAAGAAGCGCGATGTGCGAATTAAGCATTATTAAATTGTTAATTACTTTCACTAAAGATATAGCGCATACAGTGTCTTCTTCTCTTTTGCACTCATATCCACGCCCGCTAATTTCTCGCGAATTCTTGATTATCAAAAAAACCGCGAGATCCAATCGTCTGACAATTTAGATAATTAGCATTATCAAGTGAGGGAATAATTGCCAGGACTTTGTACTATCGCGCGACGTGTAAAACGTCTTTTATCGATTTAATGCGGAGATTTATCCGCATTTACGCAAGAAGCATTTATTCTTTATAAGGAAAATATTAATTTATTATATCATATATCTATCATATATATATTCATAACTTAATATTGTAGTAGTTATATACATAAAAAGATTTACAATGTAAAAAAAGTATTTAAATTCTTACAATAACATAATTTTTTTAATGATTAAACTCTGCAAACTAATGACACACATAATACATATAATCATACTTATCGTTAATAAGACGCGATAGAATATTATTTTCCGATTATCAATAATATTTTTTTAAATACATAATCTCAAAAATTTGTTTTTAACGGGCATTCTTGAACAGAGTTTTGTTCAATCGAATGAAGATATGGCGGAGGACAGTGGAGAAGTTCTCTTGCTTATCGTGACGGAGCATAATCGGTGGTTAAAAATCGTTTGATGTTTACTCGGTAACCAAAGGTGACAGAAAGCTACCTGTTTGTACGTGCCAGCGATCCACAATACGATATACATATATGTTTACTACCTGCATGGCCGTGATACGTCGTCAGTGGCGTAGAATCTATACACGTTCAAGGATTCATAAAAGGAATCACTGACATCATAACATAATTTCGAAAAGCAATCGCGTATATTATTAGAGTTTATTGGTAATACAAAGTTTATTGGTAATAAAAAGAGAAAACACAAAGAAATAGAAAAAGAAAATATTTCAAAATATAATTTACAAAATTATTATTATCCATAAAATTTATTTCTTCTCATGTAAATGTATGATTAAAAAAATATTGAAAAAATGACATGTATCACGTAAAATAATACGTTTTGCGATAGCCATTTCAATTTTTTTAAACATATCTGGACTTGCATTTTCTCTCGCTTTCAAGTATTTTCATTATTTATAAAAATAAGCAAAATAAGAGATGTGCAATAAACCAGAACATTAATAGGAATAATACTTGCATTTAATAGGAATTATATTTCGTCGGCTAGAAAGATTTCATAAAACGAAGGATTCCGCGCAGGAGGATATGATTAATTCCTTGGAAGAAAATTAGCCTTTATTTTGTTGAAATTTTAGAAAAGTAGGTCAAACTACTGTCATAATGAAATTTTAAAATATGCCTCGCCAAGGAAGCAGCTCGCGTATCTACGACATTGTGGTGCGCGCGATAGCATTACTACAGGAGTACGTAGAAACGTATCGAGAGACGAGTGAAAACGAGTATCCCGTGAGTGTGCTGGACGTGCCTCGACCCTTAAGTAAACATTCTTTCGTCTCTTATTTGGCTACATACGGGCAAACGAGGAGAGCGGACCATTTACCTTGCAGGCACCGTGGTCGTTCGTGGTAGAACCACGAAGCGGGTGATCCATCATTTTTCGACTGTTAGACGCCTCGAGTGAGTGTCTGCGATACGATATGAATGCCTTCGATGCATATTTATATCGCATTATTATTAATTTTCGTACCATCAAACAATTTTTGTAATTCTATATTAATATAATAATTGTATATTAGAAATTTGGATGTCTAAAAATAATAATAATAATATTCATGGAAGAAAAAATATAGAAATATAAAATAGAAATATGAGAAAGACGCGTTCCGGTGTATGATTTTTATTTCTACTAGAATAATGAAAGAATATTTAATGTATAATGGTTTAAAAGATTCACGTTTACATCATTGTAATATGTGCGTGAAACTCACAAAACAGATGTAATTTATAAGATAAAATATTTAATATGCAATTTCAGAAAATAATGAATATTTTACATATAAAATTTTACTATATAATTTTAACTTATTACATTTTATCTTAAAATAAATTAATTTTTTGTTTTTGTTGTTGGAGTAGAGCGACCACATTACTAACCGTGGAATATTTTGAATGGAAGAGATATATCTTAACATCAAATATGCCTTATGTCACCCTTCTGAAAGCCAAATATACGTTTAGTCGATACGAGAAATAACCGATAAGCGGAACGATTACAAATGGGGTGTGATACCTATTAGGCGACTATTAGGTGCCTGATAACGCGACGTATTATTGATATAATATTTCATTGTATTGCGCGATGCTATCTGTGTAACAGACATCTACTAATACGTATATCTCTGATTCGTCGATTACACATTTTTTAGATAATCGACTGCATACTATAAATAATCCCAATGAGTTGTGTAACTATATATATTTAGATAATCGATTGGATACTATAACTAATTCCAATGATTTGTATATATAAATATAAATATATGTATATATAAGTAATACTCAGATATGCATTTACAATATATCAAACATTTCTTGTTATTATATATGTATATAGATATGATGATAAGAAATTTTTGTGTGTAATATATTGTAAATACATATCTGAATATTATAAATATTTTAAACATTTACTTTTTATTTTATACACATGAGGTTAGTCAATAATTAAGGTTTGAAAGATAAATGTGACAGAAAGACATCTGTCATATAATTAGAGATATATTAATTCATAAAATAAGAAAACTTGCAAAAGATACGAAAATGAAATAAGAAAGGAATTATTAACAATCATCGAATTTTATTCTAATAATTCGGAGGATTAATTTTCTGAAATATACTATAAGAATCGAAAAGAAGGTTTGACTGTATGTGTGTGTAAACGGCACAAAAGAAATATATCAGTCTCCAATGAGATTTACGAATAATTTCATCCCCTATAATCGAAGATCTCAGTTTCTACTTTTTATTTTCTTAATATTATAGAAACCGTTAAAAAAACAAATTTAATGACAACAAATTATAAATAAAGTACCGTATTACGAGTTATCGTATTGTAGATTACGTGACACAAGAAGATTTCTGAGAGAAAACGAAATGTCTCGTTGACAATTTGACCAATTTCACCACCATCTTCCAGCTGAACAATTTCACGAGTCAGACTCAGTGGACAATCATCGGACTTGAGTCACAGTTAAATTAATGATGCGATAATATCGATTACAATACAGTCTCCGGTAACTACCGCGCGACGCACCAAGAATCCCCAAGAAGACGCCGCGGAATCGTCCATCCGCTCGCACCCTCACCACATCTTCACGCCTATTTGCCTCTTCTTCCGACTTCCACGGTCACGTGGCGAGCATCTGTGCATCTCTGTCTCACGTCGGTGCCTCAAACGACTTCTGATTGGTCGAGGGGGAAATTCACCGTCTAGGGTGGCATCACCATCCCCGTCGCATCCGAGGGAAATGCCTCGCTCTGTCTCATTCTCGCCGAAGGATCTGGTGGGTGTAGCTCTCGGACACGCCCGATCCACGATGGGCGTAGTCAGAACCAGCTGCAACGATTCCATCTAGTGGGGAAGCTTTTTCGGTGGACACGCGGTCATCCGCAACGTCACTTTGCGACGCGACACCGAGCCGCCTGCTCGTGTCGTCGGCCTCGTGTAGAGATCGTGATATAATCGTGGGATCGATCGAGAGGCGGTTATCGATCATCGAGTGCGGATGACCGATCTATGAATCGGTTACCGATTGCTCCAATGACATTCACGTGACAATTTACGAAACTGTGCAAAGCGTCATTGAAATACACACAGATACATCATCTACAGTAAATATCGTCAATAATCGATCAGTTTAAGAAATGATCGGATGAAGACTTTATCGTAACTAGAGCTAGTTTGCATCAGTGTTTGTTTTAAGAATCATTCTGATATGTCTTCATTGTTCAATCGTCATTGATCTTTTAAGCAGTTTGATCTATGACTCGTTCGAATCAGTGTCGGTAGAAAACATCATTATATCAATTACAAGTGGACACCAAAGCATCTAGTTCCGATTAGTGTTGATATTAAAAAGACAATCTCACCAGGAAGTATGTGTTAGAGATCTACAGTGATCGCAGGATATGGCAGCTATGCATTACAACGCGCAGATGGTCTCAGAAGATTTGCATCCTCGACATCTTTACAATTTACAACAGAGACTCCAAGATTCCGGATCTTCGCCTAGATCGGAGGACGCCAGATCGCCGCTGAACAGTCGAGTGAGATCGCTCGAGGAAGTGCGTTTCGTGGGTGCTAGATCACCGGACGTGACGGAAGATAGAGTAATCAGGTATCACGATGACGCTGGAAACAAACGTTTCTTTCAAGACTCGGAGAACCCTTCTAGAAAATGTTTTAGCGACGAAATAGCGACAAATCGTTGCCGCGAGTCGGAAACCTCCCCCGGAAGAACGTCCTCGCCGCAAAACTACATTCTCAGCTCGCCTAATCAGCATAGCAGCTCCATTGGCAAAACGTCCTTCTGCATCGACGCGCTTCTCGGTCGCGCCACGAAGCAAAATGAAATAGAGCAGTCATCGGCTGATCGACAGAAAGCGTTCTCCAGAAGCCACGGGATCCAATCCGATAGTCTAAATCTTAGCGGTATTCAAGAACGGGAATCCCCCGGCGCCATAAGATGTCCTGGAGATCAAAGAACAACCTTGGGAAATCCCTTAAATCCTTTCATTCAGCATCATGAGTCCGAATCGCCCAGTCTGGAGGCTCGAGAGAGACATTCCGCCAGTCGCGAGACCGTTCTCGGTCTCCATACCGGCGAATCCGGCGTATCTGTCCAAAGAGGCCAGTTCAGGCCCGAAACGGGGACCAGCAACTACCGGAACGACCGGCTGGAGAACGTCGAGGACGACACGTCCGTCGACGTGGATCCGACGCGGACCGGAAGCGCCAGTCCCGGAAGCAACGCGAGTCACAGTGCCGCTTCCAGTCCTCCTATATCTCCCGGCTCGGAAGATCCGTCCAGTAACGGCATCCTGGGCCATCAGAGTCTCGCGTCTGGGCCTTACGGCGTGAGCGCGGCGATGGTCAGGCAGAATCAGGGCCTTCTACTGCATCCCGCGGGACCACTTATCCATCCAGGAGGATTGTACTATCATCCGGCCAGCGGCAGTGCTTTCCACTCGATACACAAGGAGGGTCAGCCAGTCAGCCATCCCCAATCCGGAGGGCCTCATCCTCAGCAGCATCACATTCATCCACTCCAGCTCGAGTGGTTCGCCCGGACCGGCATGTTATATCCCAGATTACCCGCGGATTTAGCCGGTGAGTGGATTGACACGATTAATCCGATTAATTAATAATGGCTGTTTAGGATATCTTAATTTTGGTTATGCATCGATATTGACCTGCAACCATTTGCAGCTCTTGATATCTATGGTATAGAAAAGAGATGCATTTCGCGAAAGTAAAAAAGTTTTGTTATTACGTTTGAAATTTCGTGAATATTGGTTTTAAAAATCTTATCTTATTTAAAAAGAAAAATTTGAAATATACTTAATAAGAACTTAAAGATAATATTGATAAAATTATTAATTTAAAAAAATTAAATTATTATTAGGATTATTTAATATGATTATAATAATTATCTTTGTAATTAACTTTATAATCTAACGTTTAAAATTGTTAAATATGGATTATAAATCTGACTAAACACGGCAAGCCGGAATACGGATTGCATTCCTAAGCATAAATCATTCCGATCGAACTGGTCTTATCAACCAAACGCTGATGCGTCTAATTAATTGAATAATATCATTACGATCGCTGCGCCAAAGAACGATACAAGCAATTAATCGCGTGATATCTGTGGTAAAGATTGCGATAATTATCATCACTATAAAAAATAAAACAAGTTTAATTCTGCTATTATATGATAAGATATCATTTATATGAGCCTTTGAATTAAAATAGTATATATAAAGTCAGAAAATAGCGACATATAAATAAATAATAACACATCATAAATTTTTGATAATGGTTAATTACAAGAATGATGACATCAATGACACCAATTTTAAATTTCTCTTTATGAAACAGCATAATAAAATAAAAAAATTTGATTTTATATATACCTATAATATTTCTGTAAATTCTCTTTTACAATATACGAAAACACAAAAAAAAAGAAATTTAATTAATTATATAGAAAGTTTTATCGTTTTTATTTGAGATGTGACATATGTTTGTGATATATGTTAGATATTAATTAAATTTAATTTTAGAAATTAGAGATTTCCAAACTCGATATGCGGGCTGTGCGATTTTTATCATAATCGAGAATAAGATTGCAAGGATTGCAAGTATTAACATAGTCTTTGTAAGAAGCGCGACTCGACCTTCACGTTAAAACCGTTAATCCTTTTTGAATGCCTGATAAATTAATGATTTGATAATAATTTGCAAGGAAATTGAGAACGCAACCGATAAAGATCGTTACAATCGATAATGATACTCATAAATCGTTTTTTCTTAAGTCGACAGTGACGCGATGCCAATCCCAGAAAAAAATATGCTGATTGCGATTTTATCGCTGATCGCGAATCGGTAACAAACAATGTGCGAGATAGTGCGAGAATAGAGGCGAGAGAAAATCCAACTAAAAAATATATTTATAATCGATTTTGAAGTCACGAATCTCTTAATAAGAATTTAAAACCACTCTTAATTATCGAGTTTCTTAATCCATCAGGGAATTAAACAATGTCTGTGAATTAAGTCTCGCGAATGTAAACAGATAACGGGGTTTTATTTTTTTCCGAAAATATCCAGTAGGATTTATTTGACAATTTAATTTGCAAAATTTAATTCGCGATTCGATTAGTAAAAATATCCAATGACATTGATTAATGACTTTGCAATCAAATCTTTGTAAAAAAAGATATATTCAAATTTATCAAAGAGGGAAATGTATTGCGCAAAATCGAAATCCCTTGCGTAGGTGAGTGGATCGCGTCGGATGATATCGACTGTAACTCATGCGTGGGAGGTCGTGTTATGTTAGCTCTCAACGGCTATTACTAGCTATTAACTCGAAAGTGAGAGGCAACGTCGAAAGACAGATTGCCGTTACGATGAGCAGATAGTACATGTTTACGTGTCTAATGTACCGCTCCAATAGACCATATTGGCCGACTACTCAAATTTTACGATCTCGATAACACAGCGATATTCGCTCGTAACTTTGAAAAAATATGGTTTCTCCAATTTGTAAAAAAATATATATATATACATATTTGTAACGCAAAATATTAGAAGGATATCATAAAATGAGATATCACACATACACAATTATTTAAATTTATCTATATTTAATCTCGCGTGAATAAAATGTTCAAAATTTTTATTTTCCTTTTTTTTTTTGTTGATTAAAAAGAAAATCTACCGTTTAAACACACAAATCAAAAACACACTTATACAACACGACAAATATTCCCACTACTGTAAATAAAAAATCTCACTTTTCTTTATATTTTCTTTCGAATTACATTTTATTTAATAAGATAATTTTACAATTTTTTAATTAATCTTTCGCAATTCTTTCTGAACAAATAAGAGGAGATCTAAAAATGCATCTCTTCGCCCCTTGCCTTTAGAATCCTCTACTTACGAAGAAGAAGAACTGCATCGCTGCCAACTAATTCGCAAATCTTGCCACGAATCACAGAACTGTCTGAAAAATACAAAGAAGAAAAAGGCGAAGGCGAGAGGAAAGAAAAGGGGACTAACTAAGTGGCGGCGGAGGAACTTGAAAAGCAAAGGATTCAGACATGAGGGAAAGGGGGGAGGAAGTGCAACAAGGGACTTGGTTACCACGGTAAATTTCACGCTCGGAAAAAAGAGCCGTGGCCGCGTTGTCAGGCCAATCAGTCGAGGGCTTTTATCGAACAAATTGGTCAGTGAACGTATGGCGATGGCGGCGGCGGCAGAACGGCGGGGCACAGGGGAGAAACGAAGGGAAGCAAAAATGAGAGGCGGAAGGGCAGCGGGGATGCCGCGGACACAAGTGGCGGGTGCGCGGGGTATTTCCTGTCAGATGATCCTGATTGGTAGTTGCCGAGCAATCCAGCGTTGACCAAAAAAGACGAAAAAAAAAATCGAGCGGTGGCGTAAAACAAGCGCAAAAAAAGAAAAACGAAAAAAAAAAAGAGAGAGACAGAGCGCACATGCGCGTGGCACGAAATAAAACGCGCTTCGAATACATCGACCTCCCCTTCTCCCCCTAAGCCTTCCGCCTTCCCCCCCTCGCATGGAGGCCATCGTCGGTGGGATACACGGCTCGACTTGTTAAAAATTGCCGACGGCACCACCCCCGCGCGACGTTTTGTAAATAACGAGGGAGGAAAGGGGGAGGCAGAGGACCAGGGGGCAAGAGCGGTAATCGAGGGGCAAGGGGAAGGAGGAGGAATGCCAGCTTTTATTTGCGGAATATTTGTCGCGCGTTATGCCCGCGCGCGGCGACGCAACGACAACATCATGTTTCATCTATCCCGAGCCGCGCGTAACGGCGTATCGAAATTTAACTAGCGCGCTATAAACGGGATGTGTGCACGTGTCGGGGCCCGCGTATTGCACGATGTACCCCGTGCCCGAGCGGTACCGCCGCCCCACCGCGTCCCAAACCCCACATCAGCGCCCGGTCGCCAGATAGTTATCCATATCGCGTTACGAACGGATGGCCCGCATCGCGGCCGCTCTAATTAGCGCGATTCTGCGGCCATCGATTGCCGCTGTCGAATGGAAATGGCCATTGAGATGGCGAAACTTCATCGTTACTATAATAATTATATTACTAAAATTATATCGGGAATGTGTGTACATATGTACACGAGCAGTATATCTTGAAAACAGATCATTTAACTTTGAAATTGCATATCGCTTCTTAATCAAAATTTTACTAGAACTGAATATTATATATTCAAAAATTATCTCGAGAAACTTTAAGATTGGGTATTATCGAAAAATAATTCATTGTTAATTCAAAAATCATCTGGTCGAAAAAAAGAAGAAAGAGGAAAGAAGAAGAAAAATATAAAGAACATAGCTTGATTATTCTTTTATGATTGGCAAGAGATACCCAAAAATTGAAAAAATACAGTTGTATTATTTTTCTTATAAAATTTCTAATAAAATAATAGAATAGAATAAAATTAAAGATAACTTTTCTCTTCGATTTAGTTCTAAATTTTTTTAATCGTCGCATATATATGTCAATCAGCAACAATCGACATCAGTCGATAGTTGACTTCTGCATTAACGTGTGAAACAATCATCGATTTTCCGATGGTGACAGTCACATGGACACGCCGACGATGATTAATTGTTCGCGCGAGTTGAAATGCAATTGTAATAATTACTGTCCCCGCCGAGCACATACCGGGAAGGAATAAATTATTCATCGTAAATTTATAGCCTTTTTACATGATATGAGCGCGCGTTGAGAAAATCCTTAAGCGTTTTAATAATATTAATTGCAGATATCGATATCAACGGTAAATACATAAATAATAGCGGAGGGCGTGATAAATCTCGCGTTCGATAAAACTGGTAGCGCGGTGATTTTTATTTTCAGCATTGTACTTTACATATTTTACGACAATAATTTAATGATGGCGAATGTTTGATTTGCCGATTATGAAAATGTAAAATTTTCGCGCTGACGTTTTATTTTATGCGTCTGGGCGCTTCTTATTTCGCAATGTTATCTATGTTACATTACAATTTTCAATGACAGTAAGTTATAGAATTTAAAATATAAATGTTAAATAAATATGAACATGCATTATATTAGTTTATGTGATTTGATTCTATCTTTTTTTCTCAGTGCAAAAACGTCAATAGAGTGATAATATTTGTCTACATATAAGCACATGCACAGTATATATATATCTCTCTCTCTCTCTTTCTTTTTTTGCAAAATCTCTTTCGCGTAAATGTAAATCGAGTTACGAATTCCTTTCTAATGGCCGATGGTCTGTGAAGATATTTTTTCAAGTTAATGGGGAGCTCTTAGAGTAGAGGGTGCAAACGAAATTAAAGGCGGTATTTGCCGTCGAAGGGTGTCGAAAAAAAAAAACAGCATTGCCATTTCTTTTTGATGCCGCAATGAGAGATCGCACAGTAAAATTAAATATTTTATGAAAATGAACAATATATACTTTGACAAACTCTTTTATGCTAATTATGTACGCGCTTTTATATTTATCGCCATAAATTTTACGTATTTGCAAAAAATTATTTGCCAAAAATTGATAAAACTGTTCTAC